CCCCCCCCCCCCCCCCCCCACTAAATTCAGTAAAAGCTCAGCTATGTACACATGTACTCACCGCAGGGACAGAAAATAATCTCATCACGACACCGTCACTAGGGAAATCAACTCATAAACTCACTAGATTAATTGAAAGAAGTGCAACACTCTAAATAAATTTTCTGAACAGAGTGTCAAAAACATGAATTCGTTTTTGGAGCAGTTTCTCATCCCGCTTTCCCAAGACTGCAATGACTGCGAAGAGAAAGAGCAGTCTTTCGTGTTTTCTAGTTCACGATCAGCATAAGTTTGCCGTCCTCTAGTTTCAATTTATGTTTCAAGGCCATGACTTGAGAGGGACCAGGTCCTCAGTATGGTGATCAAAGTAAAGACAACAACATTCCCCAATAGAGTTCCATAAATTTTTGACAAGCTATGGTATGAAACTACGAACGAGTGCTACCGTGGAGTGAGACAGCACTGTTTCTTCGAAGACACACGCGTGAAATTGTGCTCGGCATGCAATTTTATTTGCTTCAACGCCTCAGTGTCCTTCAATAGTAAAGGAGATATGGTTGTGACGATACCCTCAGTGATCGGATTTTGCTTTTGTGATTAGTAATATTGAGGTGTTCTCGCCGGTCTTCATCAAAATTCGAAGAACAAACCCGTTCATAAGACATTACCCCATTTTGCCGTGAAATGAATCACCGTCTTCCTGAAGGTTTCATTGTCCAATTTCCGTAGACGTTGAGATTCAGAATAAAGAACTGTTATAGGTGCACTTTGCAGTCCCCCAGAGAACCGAAGACTTTTCATGAAAAAAATACTCGGATAAATTTTTCCCCTGTTTTTTTTCATGGGTAAATTCGCCCGTTTGGAGATGCGCGCGACAATTTGCCGCGCGCATCAATATTTGCGAAGTTCAAGGTCATTTGGAGGCTTCTGGCGCCTATCATTTAGGCAGAGATATGAAGAAGTGTAGATAAATAGAGTGAAAATATGATTTGGTCAAATCAAACCCTGCCGTGAACTTCCAGAAACTCATTGATTAACTCTGAAACTCTACGAACGTTCCCTCGCTGCTTTTGTTGCCTTTATAAACATTCACCGACGTAGTGTAAGCATTTGAGGTCTTGTTGCGTCTGGCCATACATGCATCTGGTGAATTCGTCAATAGAGACTACAAATATTTGTCATTGCCCCTTTCGAAGTATTTAAGGGTACCAAACTTACGTTCTCTAATACGACATTGGAGAAAGAATTGCCGTTCGCAAGTGATCACGCCCAATAGACGAACATGTGCATGTACATGGGTGATGCCTAGCTTCCACGCATGAAAATCCTTACTATATATCCTTACTATATATAAACCAGGCAGGGCAAGTACCGGAATGGGCGGTGCGAATAGCCAAACGACTTATTTTGGCTTTGAAAAAGGTCCAGACACCGAGAAAAAATGTTCAAAGGTGAGGATTGGGTCAACAAACCAGACAGAGGAGACCCACGTGCTGTGGGCGGAGCTTCCTCAAAATGGGCGGTGCTTTTCAGATGTATTCATAACTCGATTTGATTAAGGCGCAGCCACAAAATAAGAAGAGTGAACAGGGTCTTATGCGTGCTGGGCTTGCGGAGCTTAGCGAAGCCCCGCCAACGGTGGGCGGGGCGTGCGTTGAGACAAAAGACACTTTTCAAAAATGAATGCAACTTTGCTTGGAAATGTTCTATAAAGCAGCAAAAAGGCGTTAAGGTGTAAAAGAACAAATGTGGCCAAATACTCGAAGTGGGCGTGGCTGACACAAAGGAGGACGGGGCTTAGACCAAAAATTTTTAATTCTGTTCAGAAACGTCCTGAGATGCGGTAAAAAGGTGTTAAAGTGTAAAAGAGCAAATGTGGTTAAAGTGTAGAAGAACAAATGTGGGTCGAATCCCAGAAGTGGGCAGGTTTGGCACTGAAGTGGGCGGGGGATGGTTAAAAGTTTATAACTCTGTTTAGAAACGTCCTGGGATGCGGCAAAAAGGTGTTCAAGTGTATAAGAACAAATTTGTTCAAATCCCAGAAGTGGACGGAGTTGGCACTGAAGTGGGGGAGGCTTAGATCAAAAATTTAAACATTCTAGGATGCGGGAAAAAAGTGGTAAGATGTAATAGAACAAATGTGGTCAGATCCCACAAGTGGGCGGGGCTTACATCAAAATTATTAAGTCTCTTCAGATGTGTTTTAGAACGCGGGAAAAAGGTTTCTGGAGGTAATAAAAGTAATGTGGATCGAAGTCTGTAGTGGGTGGAGTTCGCAAAGATGGGGGCGGGGCTAAGGTCAAAAATTTATACATCTGTCCTTCAAACTAGCCCTCACCACATAGGTGTACAACTAGGGGATACCACTAAACTCTCAAAAATTAGGCTAAAATTTTTTTAAAAGTTGGTATCCATGGTGCGACANACAGTAGTCCCTTCTACACAAGAGCAAATGCACTACATTAATTTCGGACCTCATAAAATAATTTCTACAGTAACCCCGGCCAACAGGTGCATACCCGTAAACACGTGTAATTTCTACAAATACCCGAAGGGGCTTTTCTTTCAAAGTTAGTGTTTATGGTCACACACAGCCCAAACTACACAGGGTTTCTTCGACTACATGGACAGCAGAGGTATTTGATTTGGATACATCACAGACACACAATCCCATTTCACACCCCAAAAATAATGATGGTCGCTACAAAAGTGTTAGGGAAGAGGCTCAGACGACAAAGGTCTATAATGAAAATCAGAAGCTCATGTGGCTCCGTCCCTTATGGCTAGAGCCCCCAGCGCACGCAATAGGTGCGTAGCCGCCTGGAGCCAGCTTCTCCTCGTCAACTCTATGGTAACTCACTCGAGACAACCCACAGTTATCAACATTCAACGAGCCAACATTGTCACAATTGGGCCAGCCACGCTTATTCTGAAAAGCGCGAGATTTCTCAAAGCAGCAGCGTATATGTCGTTTGCCGGCCCCTCCCATCACGCCACCCATTCTACGCGGTTTGGTGTTTTCATAGTCCGCGCGCGCCGGCCGGGGCGACGCTTGCCACTTGTTTATAAACTGAGTGTTGATCGATACCGCAGGATGACTAGTCCCTCGGCCAGCGCGCGCACTCGCGGGACGGTGGGCGGACTATGAAAGCAGCCTTGTGAGCTGGAAAATCGTCCGGGTGATTCAACCTCCTGACCATGCCAGTCAATGCAAATAGACAGAGTTTAAGTAAGTGCGCAATGAGTAAATCGCCTGGACGAGTTTTGCAACTCAGAATCCGCGTCGAATAAGCGACGCAATGCGAGGGGCCGCGCCGAACGACCGCCTCCTCAAAGCAACATCTATACGAACCATATACACGTCAAGCCGATCAGTCCGCCCAAATGGTAAAACGAGTATGTGGTCATAGTATAAGAATCGACGGCGAAGGGCAAAACCGAAGTTGATTATTCGTTGCCAAAATCGGGGCTGAATCAGAGTTCGTGTGGCTTGATGAAAAGGCATAAGGGGCTATGATATGTGCGTGGACTCAATATTTATATAATCACGGCTTGATGGCAATAAAAATAGAGATACACAAGAGTACGTAAGGAAATGAGGAAAACCTGTAAGACGAGCACCATGAGCAAATACAAAGTTATAACTTTAGGAGTTCCCATTCTAATAACGACGTGATAGACATCATAACCGAAGGTGGAAAATACAAAAAAAAANCTTTAGGAGTTCCCATTCTAATAACGACGTGATAGACATCATAACCGAAGGTGGAAAATACAAAAAAAAACTACAGAAGGAAAGAAGAAAAAAAGGATTGTGAAGCTGGTTTTATACCAATCATGCCCGTTAGAGCTGTAAGGAAACGTGAACTGAAGTCAGCCTCTTTTCCCGATTTGAAAAGAAGTGGAAATTAAAATTTATGAGCCTTTCAAGCTGATGGCTTGAAAGGCTAAGAGTACACCTTTTATAAAACTCTCACTCATTATGAAAGGCGACTAGATTCTATGGTGGTACTGAAAGTAAATGATGTGGAGGACTAGGTAAATGACGAAATAATAACAGAAATTCTGAATGGCACAGTCGAGAACATTACCCATCGTCACCAAGTGCAACATAGCAATCCTACTTCGTTGCAATAGGGAAATTGAGAACAAAGAAGCTCAGTTGAGCAAACACCTTAACTCAAGCTGTAGCTGCCCAATTCAAATTTTTTAGTTCCATTTTTTTCTTGTTTAAAAAATCAAGCTTTAATGTGTTTCCCAAGAAGGCCTCCCGTATGACGACTTCGCAGTCGCTTCACCGGTNAAAAAATCAAGCTTTAATGTGTTTCCCAAGAAGGCCTCCCGTATGACGACTTCGCAGTCGCTTCACCGGTGGTGAGATCGTCTTCTTAAAGAGGAAGCCTTTGATTATAACAAAATGGAGGAGTATATATGATTAGCTTTCACCTTGTTATCGTAAGAGACTGGAAATTGACCTTGATAAAACCCACATTGTTTCTACGCCAAAAACACACGCAAATACTTTTATGAATCACCTATCTTTGCCTATCAGAAATCATACTGCGTTCATCCATCGACGCCGGCCATCGATCGAACAGTACGCACACGGGAGAGACACTCAGAGGGCGAGCCATGCACACGCATCAGAGCAGAACAAGTCATCGGGCGCACTTTTTCCTTTCAAGAAAATCGTTCTCCTTCCTCCCACCAGGCTACATTCCGAAAGGAATGTATCCTCATCTAGTCGCGAACTGAAATCTTCGCACCCGACCTTTCCCTTGTTGCCCGTTTGCATGGCCGACCTGCAACAAGTCATCCCAAGGCGGAGTATCGATCCACGGTCGACGTCGACGACGCAAAAACGCAACAACGGCGTCGACGCCGTACTATGAATACGCCCAATTCCGAATTTCAAACAAAATTAGACCATCGGCACCGGAAAATTTTGAAATGGCCAAAGCGGACCTACTTTGAGAACTCGATCTTCTTGTAACCCATTCCTACACATTTGAGGGTGCTTCCCTCTAGTCTCGAAAATTGGAGAGCTCGGTGGTTCAGGAGGATCGTCACCAAAGGACATCATCGCCTGGTGTAAGGAAAGGTGTATGCCAAGCAACCTGCTAAGAGTCTGGCTTTGGATTTCGTTCACGTATTTTACGAAAAAACGGCTTACTCATTATGCGAAATAGATTAACCTTTATGCAACATAAATTTCACTGCAAAAAATCACATTCTTCGTAGTCAAGATGAACAACTGGGAACAATTAAGAGGAAATGTATCCCCGTGATAAAGAAAACAGAAAAGTCGTGATAAATCACATAAAACGTCCAACTAATTCTTGGCAGTAGAAAGGAATGCTACCAGACCAGCTGATCCTATGACAGACAATAGTGAATTGAAAATAGGAGTGAGATTCGCGAGAAGGAAAAATGCTAAGAATAGCATGATCGAAAGAAAAAGGACGTTGGTGAAAAATATGGACAAATACGTCGCCTCCGAATCAGCAACTTCGTTTTTACGGAAAAGAGCACGCTCCTGAAATTAGGAAATCTACAAATATAATATTATATATCGAGTAATGCCGAATGTATCTGCCTCAGATTTCACAATGGTTCGAACATTTCGAGAGATTTTCTGTATGCTTCCATAGCAACTCTTTAAAAAGACACAGCCACTTGTGAGCGCATAATGTTTCAAGATTCGCAATCGCTTGAGCAGATCGAGGTTCACCTTCGACCTCGTTGGAACGAGGTGTGCACAGAACTGCTCAGAAACTGGCGAGGGCAGTTATCTTTCAAAAGTTTCGATAGGCTCCAGCAGCGAAGTGGCTGGATACGTAAAGCACGGGTTGTTTATGGGCAGATAGCTCAGCCGTTATATGGTCAAATAAGCAAGGGTGAAGTAGACGTATGTGTTACGCCTATAGCGCAGGTACTACCCTCACTCACAGGAAACTCTTCAAAGCTTCCAGAAAACCTCGGGAAGAAACTACACTATTGCGAAGTTTTATATATNTATATATCATATCACATAGTTAACAAAATTGAAATTGTGTGACAAAGATATTTCACGAAATGCAGTAACACTAATCCCAAGAACTGCCAATGAGAGTTACCTCCTTCTCCTTGGTGCTCATTTTCTTGTCATTTGCGTATTTCTGATTGATTTCTCTATCTACTGCAGAACCTCGTTTCATGACGATCCTTGAAAACGAATAAATAGCAAAATGAAGAAAGTTATTAGGGTGCAAAAGCACTCACTGATGTTTCAAGAGTCTCTTTTGATTTTTACAAGCCATTGAAAGAAAATAGGTCGATGCGACAGCCGAGATGATCCAAACTATCCATGATTCAGCCACCTGAAAACGCCATAGACCATAAAGTACTGGAATACAACTCTAAATGACCTTAGGCCATAAGAAGAATAGAGGAGCAAGGACAAGTTACAAAAATGCAGTCACATGATTTCGTTCTCGAATCTAAAAACAATGAAGACTACAAAAAATTAGAATGAGCTCGAATAAGACACTAACTTTCAACTAGGGCCGCAAAACACATTGTCCTTCCTATTCACCCTGTTTCAAATCTCCTTGGATGCTCACGGCAGCCAGCGAAGCTTACGAAACTGCATCAGTTGAGAGAGACAGTCTAGTCCGCCGGTATGCCTTCCAAGTGCGCGCGCATGCCGGCCGTCGGCGGCGCTGGCCACTTGTTGACAACTATGGCACGCGATGCATCGGAGTCCAGTGTTCTCAACAAGTAACGCGCGCCGCCGCCGGCTGGCATGGTGCTCGCACGCGCTTGGAAGACATACCGGCGGACACTGAGAGAGTCAGTGGCCGAATCAAACATTTGAGAAACCTCGTAGACGAAAAAGATAAGAGTGGCACTGAGAGCTCCCGACACAAGACAGCGAGGTAGATTACCTGTCGTAAAATTAAAATTTACATTAAGCTTTCTATCGTTCTACAGCCATGATTGACTCTACGAGGCTGTGCCCGGTAGTGTTAGGAACGCGAGTATTACATCTTACAGTAAGTCTTGTTAATTAGAAAGACCCGTAAATGATTACTGTGTCGACCCGGAAAGTTCACTTCATCGTAAACAATATCTCTCCAACTTTTTTAGAGATGGAGCACTGTACAAATAGAGCGAACAAAGTTGCGATTGAGCGGTCAATTATACAACAGATTGATATTGCATATTGGTGTATCGGCCAGCATTGCTACAGCGTATCATACCACACGTGAACACTATACATATGAAGGGAGTCAAGTTCTGAATTAACGCTATATAATCTAGAAAGCATTTAGATAGAATTGTCGATTTCGGATTACCCCCTTCCACTTGCCTCTCTCCCGGAGTTCAGCCTCGCCACCTCTCACTAGTATTCCTATCTTGCCGCGTCCATCTTTACCGAATTTACACCCCAGAGCCAAATTTGCAATTTTCGTGCACGCTTCCCTTCCAGTGGGCGGATTCGACACTTGCAACCTGCCATTGGCGTCCCCATTTTGCCGCCTAATCCAAGTTTTAACACCACTCCTACGCGAAAAGGAACACACACAGGAACACAGTAATACATAATTACACTTTACGCACTAGTCTCGCCCCCGGGGGCGGAGCCCAGCATAGCTTACGCGTTCCCGAGTGACTCGGTTCATTTCTACTTGTTCAAATCTCGCTGATCTGCTCCAGTACGATTTCCAGACTGGTTCCCATCAGACAAACAGACGGGCGTTTGTGATTTCCACATGTAAGGAATGTGACGAACCGGTTAACCAATATCAGCAATAGAATTGTTAGAAGCTGAAAATCTTGCCAACAGCTGGTGACCTCTTGCTTCACATCTTGTTGAGTAAGTTTTGATAGTGGGAATGATACTTGCGACGTTACGACCTATGAATACGTCGTGGTTGACCAGGCGGCCTCACTTGCACCATCGTCTCCGAATTTGAGCAACCGTCCTGTGCTGATGAATGACGGGACTGACTTTTTGGGATTCATTCTAGTTGGAATTTCGCTGGCCTGAGTAGCAATAAGCGTGATAGGGAACACGCCAGAGTTTCGATACGCTATTGGGCCCATGAGAAGGAAGTACTTGTCAAAACGTCAGGCACAATAATGTTTCAATAGTGAAGATCATGGCACAAAGACATTAACTACATGTCTTGCCAATTTTTGAGCACTTATGAATCCTTTACTAACAACCTTTACGATCATAAAGAGTCAAAGTAGATGTTACCTCCATTTGATGCACTCCGTAGAAGAGATAGAGAGGTGCAAGAGAAATAACGACTGCGTTGAGATAAAACAGTGCACTACTTCGCGCTGAATTCGCCGGTGAGTAACTGGAGAGGAGCACTTCCTCTTCTCTGGTAAACTTGCCCATTGCTGTTCGACCACCTACAAAACAAAAGTAAGATAAGGCAGGATGAAGGCAAAGAAACGGAGCATTAAAGAAGAAAGGTAAACGTTAGACACTAAACACAAGTAAGTTTTAGACTTAAAGCAATGTTGTCAAAAATGCTAGCGTGACGATGCGACAGTATGAGGAGTATACAAGATTGCTATCGATTTCGAATAGTTATGAGGCACAGTTCATAATGAAAATGGCTTATGGAATATAGGCTAGGACTGAACTGTGGCCCGCTCGTAAACCATATATGGCGCTGTCAGGTCGGAAAACGACCTATTCAAATCGATAGGGTGTTATAAAGGCCGGAGGCGTCCGGTGTGTATGCGCGGACCACTTTTTACGGCAGTGTATATGTCACATCTTCCAAAAAGGAATCCGTGTAGGAAGCTCAAACAATTTGTAATTACCCTTAGCAATGGTGAATGGCAACTCTGGACAGCTTTGACTCGATATTGTTGCTCTTTACGCAATTACAACAATTAAAGTTTCGTTCAAATACCCCATCCATGTCATTTCTGTCATGGTAATCTAGTACGACCTCTTTTTTTTCACTACCTTTATGGAGCCTCATTTTTCTCAATATCTCGCTTCCCTCACTACCGATGGCTATTCACAACCAATACTTCCGCTTTTCGACTTCAAAAAGGTTTCTCAAAATTATCGTGAACTGAGCCTTTAAGGGCAATGAGCGTTTTTCGTCCAAAAAATAATTCACTGCACAAACTTATGAAGCCCCATTCTCTTTGATCTAGCACACTCCTTCTATTGTTGGCTTTTTACCCAAAGGGTAAGGATACCTTGTAGCACTGGCCATTCAAGATGAGATGTATCCTGCCGTAGGTGGTTTCGAACGCTGATTTTACATTTGCGTACCAAATCTGCTAAAAATTTAAGGTAACAATGTTACGGAACAATTCTCCCCGTTTCACCACTGTTCCGAAAAGATTACCGAACCGAGCAAATCCGATAAGGCTATGCAGCGGTGGCACGGCTTCGGATGGTGGGCCTATAGGCACAACATGAAAGATAGGATCTTTGATGCATGCGTTCGTTTTGTTTCCCCATGAAATGTGCCCTAGACGCTTGTAAAACGCTTTTGGGCTCAATATTGGCTTTCTATGAAACTCTTACATTTTTAATACATCTGAAAAGATATTAAAACGAAAGTTTCTCTCGCCCCTCACCGGCCTAAATAAAGGTGAGCTCCGTCCGAGTAGTAGAGGAATTCTATACAAAATAGGCTATTTGCTCAAAATAGGCTTCAGAAATTCTTAGATGCTAGATGATTCATATCAAAAGCTCTTCAACATGTTACGAGCGAAATATTTTGCCCTCAGGGATGCCATCGTATTTGTTGGAGAACCTTCGTTCCCATGCATAACGAAAGCACCGTTTAGGAATTCCTAAAAATTCCTTTTAGCTCAATTCTTCATTACACGACAGTTATTGCCACTGCAGGACGCTGAAAATCAACAATGAAGGCCTAGTAAGGGCTAACTTCAAAGCAGGCCGTAGGTGGATTGAGGTTTCTGAGCATAACCAGCAACCAGCACAATCACCATCCCGCCCCATCGCCAAGTTTGTTTCAAGTAAGGGTTTCTTGACAACTAGTGGGTTACCATATGTGCACATAAATGATCATCTATTTTTCCACAGTACCTTTCAAAAATGTTTGTTAACTTAAAGCAGCGCGTCGAAAGTGTGGATAGTATTCCTCGAATGTGGAGATCATACCCTACAAAGGGGACTCTAACCGGAGCGACCTCCCTCTACCGTAAGTGCAGGGAGCTGCCGAAAATTTCAAAGCACCAGGTTTATCTTCGTAGTCAGTGATGGCAAAAATATTTTTTATTGAGCTGTTCTTCCCCCGGGATCTTAAAATGAGAGGGAGCGCCGTGGATGGTAAATGTTGAACCCAAAAACTTTTTGCAAGCGTTTACGGACAAAATCATCGCATGCATCAAGTATCCGAACCTTTAGTCACGCCTACAGCTCCACCATATAGTCACGCCTACAGCTCCACCATCCCTCCATCCGCGTTGCTGTGACACAGCTAAAGCTTTGCTCGGTGCGGCTATCTGTTCGGAAACAGGGAGGGATTATCTCCGTAACATTGTTCCCAGCATCGTTTAACAGATTTGGATCAGTTTTGAGAACAACGTTTGCGCCACCTAATGCGATATTACATCCTGATTGGCCACTGCGACCAAGTATCCCTCCATTTATTAGTGAAAACAAAAGTAAAGACAAAGGAAACAACTAACAAAAAAAANAAAAAAAAATGCAAAAAAGGAAATCAAGTGAAGTGAAAACATAACTCGAACGAAGGGTTTACTTACCGTTCGGTTCGAATATCCACTCAACACTCTATGAAAAAAAAAAAGATTCGCGGCAGGTCAAGGCAGCGGTTGTTTGGCGGCTCATAAACATGAGGTTATGAAATTGTTTGTTTTTCTAGACTAATTACCCTTTTTCATCATGGAAATCGCTCGAGAAAATATGCTTGGCGTGCCACGTAGTTCCACTGAACCTTCTACCAAGACCTGAGAAATATTGTATGATAACATTATCCACTTAAAGATAGACCAGACTATGATATGCTTAAATTTTCTCTAATACAACAGTTCGCCTCCACGAATATTCCCACCTTTTCTGTTGAAAAAGAAGTGACAAGGGATAGGCCGTCTTTGCGAAGCGTGGCAAAGAGTTGCCTCTCGAGACTGATTAGCGACATATTCGAGAAACACTCATGAAATTCGCCTTCTGATAAAGAATATCATTGATTCGCTCAGTTGACTTGCAACTCTAGATGTATGCAAAACCATGAACGGCCATCTAAATGTAAATTTTCCTCGGTCCACATCCATACTTATTGCTCTGGTGAAAATACCGCCATACAATTTTTCCAGTTGCCATTTGAAGTAAAAAAATCCAAGCATAAAATGACAGTGCAATCAATAAACAACCTTCAAGTCACATCAGAGGGCCAGAAGGATGACGCTAGCGCAAGGATACGTAAATCCACCCTTCACACAGAAACATGTGGTCACTCCTTCCAAGGTGGTTAGCTATCAGATGTATAACAGAGCGTGAAGAAGATGTAAGGAGCTCATTAAAACAGATATGGTTTTTGAAGGGTTGGAAATGAGAGCAAACTGACGAAGGTGGTGGTGAACAACCGAACAAATGACGACAGTTCAAGCCCAACACAAACGGGTAAGCGGTATAGCCTAACTACAGCAGGAAATATCCCTATGATTAAGCAAAGTAGCGCGTAGAGTTAAAGCTTTTTACAACATCACAGTCCATAATCCATTCCTTTCCACAAACCAATATCACTTCTTTACATAAAACACAAAGGCTTCATGAGCCTATAATTCTGCTTGGATACATTTTTAGCCATGGTTTATAATTCTTCAATCAAGCTCAATAGGGGGGGAGCGGGGTGGATGAAGTGATTAACTTGTGCAAAAGCATTGGTGGTGAAAGAACTGAACATTCAGTTAATCTCTGACCCATTTCTTTTCAAAAGTATAAGCGTAGCGTGCTAGCATAGTACCCCTGCTCAGAGAGCATCAACACAGGCCCACAGAACTGGCCACCCCTTCTTCCTTGCCTTTGACGTCCAGTGTTGAAGAAGGGCGGTGTGTCAGATTATAAGCTCATCGTGCTTCTGAACATTCACGAGATCTGGCTTACTCTTTTCCCGCCTCTTCAAAACATGCAGTGGAATTTTTAAATTGTTAGTTTGAAAAAAGCACGGAACAATTGTCACATAATCTGTGCAGAAATGTTGACCCCAAAATCTTATTAACTCTCTTATTGTAAGTGGACAGCATTCAAATGAGTACGTAGTAAGTTGACGAAGCCTAGAAAAGATTTATCAGTCTAGATCCAGAGACTGCGCATGGCTAAATACCCTTCCTACTCTTCCGAAACAGCAAAACTAGGTAGAATTTGACCGCAGAATGTCGTTGCTCCCATGCCCAAACTCTCAATTCTACCCGTGTATCTCTTTACGTGGATTTAACTCTAAGTATTCGTACAACAAGTCTCCTCTACAACAGGCACGCTGTAAAAGAAGCAGAAGCACGATATTCGTGTGTGCTGCACCAAGACAGATAGAAGCAGAGGATTTTCGAGCCCAACCGAAGAACAAACTTTCTACAGCTGCTGTAAATTTCTACTAGAATGGCACGGTCCAAGACCGCGAAGTTGGTAGAAGGGAGGTCAGAATATCATCGATAGGAAGTAAAAGAATTGCAAATTGATCATATGCACTCGAATTCGCATTTATGAACAAGAAACTCTTCAATCTGCTTATAAGCAGGTGTTGAAGGTGGTGAATGGAATTTCGAAAAAGACATAAAGATCGCTAAACAAACGAAACAATAACAACGAACCTGCCTCAGAAGAAATGACGATAAATCCACCCGCCTCGTCCCTTGCTCGACTGGAGGCGGAGCTCGCCTGCAGCCCGCGGACTGCGTGGCTGCCCGTGTTGTACATTTCCACTGCGATGCGTCGTAGTGAGTGGGTTTCACGCAGTCGAACTGCAAATGGCTGGCGGTTTGCCAGTTTTTACGGTAGTGGCCAAATTGTTTCAATGGTGCGACGTGTATCTCCCGAATCTGGACTCGTAGCCCTTTCCTTTCTCTGCAACTGCGCTGCCCACTTTGGGATAGTTCTTTTTCCTAGTCATTGTGTCCTTCTCATGCCATATTATCGTCTTAGATCGATCTACATTTGGCATTTCAGATTCAGTAATGTCGGACACTGGACGTAGCCCTCGGCCTGCTGGTACCCAGCTAAGACAACGACGAGGCGGTGGTGAGTTCTTGTTTTTTTTTGTTTCTGGTCCGTTTTTTCTTCTGGGAATATCTCATTTCTCTGCGCAATTCTAAACTGTTCGGTCGCGTAATAGTTATGGAGCATGGTCCTTTATATTAGGCAAAGGATTTCTCTTTGTTCAAATAAGGTAAAATAGTAAAGAATATAATGCACATGGCAAATTTATCTCACCTGGAACTCGTTCGTCTTGAAATTCTTGTAGGTCGAGGAAATTTTGTTGCGTCCAACGTGGGGTCGAAAACCGGCCTCAATAGTTCGCAGTAAGGGCTTCAAGTATGGCAGCGCTGGTGGCCACACCCACAAACAGATGTTTTAGGTCCTTATATACTGTACCATTTACGATGGAACACATTCGTTGAAAACGTTAATAGCTGAATGTCCGCTGCTCGCTCAAGTTTCACTCTGTGACGCAGAGTTCTCAAGCGATTGTCTCAGAAAGATAATATTGAATGGAGCAGAAGAAAATGTAAATGTTTCACCAGCACAAGTGCAATCGTTCATCACTGAAACAAGGATCCGAAGACTACTTTCATCCCTACCCTCTCTTCTTCCATCGTAGAACTTTCGAATTAGGCTGTCTCTATGAAACGTCTGTAATACGAATTCTGCGAAATTCCATGCTTTTTTCAGAACCGATTTGCACCATTTGCACCAGCACTTGAATTATTTGGATTTAAAACACTACGTCTCACCATCCTGAACTGCGCCTTTAATTTGGTTCATACGCAGGATGCTTTTTTCTTCACGTCATCTATGGGACTGTTTTGAAAAAAAAGTCAAAAAAAAATCTTGATAAAAAGGGTGAATCGTTTGCCATAGCGATATCTAATGCCCTTAAAGTCATTTTGCCTCTAGCATGTGCCACTAATCAGAGCTTTTCAACAAAGGCGAAGTGTTCTGTGCTGACTTCAGCGGTAGTTTGGAAAGGGGGTTAACCTTCTAAACTCGTTAGTGCTAGCTTTTCGATTTCAGACTTCGTTGATCATTTTGATAATCTAATTCGGAACTTTGTTCAATTTCGGTTTTTGAACACTAGTANATAATACCCCACATGTGCGACGTAGCTATTATCTTACACTTCACCACCTGCATGTTCCATTTCTATGTCCTCGCTTGCAATATATCACTGCTTTAGTTGATTTCTCGCTCAATGCTCTAACGATCTTTTACATTCCGTCATGCTACATCAGAGAGCGTATTTAATTTTTTAGATAGTTCTTAGATAATATATCTAAGTCAAGTGATCTAGACCTATATACTCAACCGAGTCTGGCTGAAAAAGTCAGCAGTCAGCCGGTTGTGCGATGTCACCCCGTCGGCTACCTAGCGGAGATGCGAAGGGACCAAGGAATTCCTCTGTTTGCGTTTCTGACTGAATTCCTCTTTTCCAATTCCTTCAGGCGTTCCTCCTTAAGAACTAATGGACTAATGGGTTGTTCTGAAAAACTCCGCCAATTTTTAACACACTGTTTGTCTTCTAGACCTTTAAAGCTTCCCTTTTAAATCTTTGATTCAATCTTCCCAAGTTTTATATTCAGTAAAAAAGTAAAGGTCCTCTAATTCTTTACAGGGCAGGAGTGAAAGTGGCGAACAATCGAGGCTTTCGATTGCAGCTCAATTTGCGAAATTGGGACAGAGGGAATCACCCTCGAGGTTCGGCAACGGTTGGAAGACCATTGATCAGTTGTCAACAAAAGATAAGAATGTTAACCGAAACGGAGCGGCGCATAGCTGCTCGTGAAGTAACCGGAAGGATCCTTGCGTCAAATTTGACTATTCATGGCCATTTGTTTGAACTTGATCCGGTGGTTTCCTTAATGTTTGGATACTTCTCGAACTGAGCGAGTGTTACTTCTCACCAGGGAGGGGTAGTCTACTTATCTTGGAACTTTGAATGGAGACCCAGATGGATCGATAGAGTTTTGAATGCTGTTCACGAAAA